CGCCAATCCTAAGACCAAGATACAACCTGTCAAATAGACAAGTGAAGTCTACCCTTTGACCAACTGTCCAATAACAATAGTTGTGGTATCTATCCTTTGTCTGATTACATTCACCTATCCCATTCGTTTTGCCCCCTTCATTATCATAATTTCTGACTTGCCTATTTTAATCTAGTCCAATTTCGCCTTTTTGATTGGATTTAATGTAATATATTCACACTCCTTACTTGTTCCTTTGCCATACCGGACGTGTTCAACTAGGTCCCCCTATCAACAAGAACAAGTTCCGAAAGCTAGGTAAAACTACTTATATACATATAAATAAGATTGTGACCAAAACATATAACACAACTTCTATATCTTCATATCCAGTTTTAAATATGCTCATATTTATTTTGATTAATCGATTTAAAAATATTTTGTATCTCTGAACTCTTTAAAATTCAGTTTTTAATTTTTTCGCTACGTTTAGATACTCACCATCCCCATATACACCACCGCCATTATACAGGCCTGAACCGGCCCTTCTCTAGCCTACCTAGAACCTGCTCTAGCCTGTCTAACAATAGTTCAGTTTACGCTAACGTGATCACATCTAGTGCTGTCAATGCTGGGAGTATGGTCACTTCAGCTCCCTCGGCTTTCTCTTCGAGTAGTATTGGACCAAGTCTAGTTTACGCCTCAGGCGAACCAGCTGCAAGCCAAAATTCTACTTCGGCCCACATTACACATGCATACTATGTTTATCCTAATTCATCTGCAAGTTTAGCTAATCTTGGCTTAGCCGGAACTCCTGGTGTTGGTGCATCTCGTCTGCGCTCTAGCGCTTGGCGTCGTGCTGGTGGTTTGTCTGCTCGAGCCCTGCCTTTCTATCCTACAGTCACTACATCTGAACCTAACACTCCTATCAGTGAACAAAGCGAGACCACTGCTGCTGGCTATCTCTCTGCCAGCCAGACGACTGTAAACAATTCGGCTGCGGCTGCTGCTGCTGCAATTGCCGCTGCATTCGCAGCTAGCACATTCTCCACTTCTAATGGTAGTCTCCACAGCAATATACACACAATTGGAATTTCATCTACAAACAGCAACACTTCTATTAATACATCTACTGTTCTTGAGACTGGGAACTCAATTTTTAGCCCTGCAGTCTTATCAAACACTGCAACATCCAATAGTTCTGTTCGTCAATCGATTGTTGGTCCTGGACGCCCCTCCTTGATCACTCCCACTGCCAATGTCTCCCCTCAATCATTTCCTTCTGGAAGCCAGTCACCACAACGCCTCTCTCCAGGTAGATTTTTATATTCAAACCTCATTAATATCATAATCAACGCTTTGGTTTTAAATTGTGTATGTTAGGTTTTCACGACTGTTAACATGATCATTTTGGGAGATATAAATATTCCAATTCTTGCTACCCTTATTGGCCAAGGCAAACAAAATATAATACATCTTTACGATGCTTACATTATTATTTTGGAACTAACCATCATTAAGAAAAAAAATAGCGTCGGGATTATCAAGTTACACGTTAGATTGCCGAACTAATCTTTGGCTTGCCTGATCTCACCAAAGGAATCATT